CCATGAAATGTGAAATGCCATGTTTTGCTCAAAATTGAAAAAAATTCCGAAAAAACAGATATAGAATCTCAACTTTGAATACCAACTAGATTCTCAGATTATTCAACAAACACTTTTCGCTCTTTTGCTGACATTAAGTTAATTATCGGCGGCAAACAAATTTAATTTATTGAAATTGGGAACGAGCCAAAATGGAAGATATGCGGACTATTTTTTTACAGCGGTGTGGACGACTTCCCACCTCAAACGATAGCATTTTTTATAATTATACGGAGTGTGCAAATAACACAATTTCTGAATAAAAACCATCGTTGCGATAGATTGTCGTGTTTTTTATGTGATCGTTCACTTTTAAGTGAGCTGAAATGTAGAATATGCAAGAGATGTACATGCAAAAGCTCACAAAGCCGGGAGAACCTCAGCTGTCTCACCCTACACTTGACTTTATTCAAACACAAATTGATAAGAAACCTCAAACTCTTTGCCAGCTTGCTCCGTCAGACGGATACGTTCAAGACCTCTTGTCGTCGTCTATTCAACGTGCGAGTACGCTCTCATGTTTGGGTGGTTTCGCTTTACGCCTTTCTTCGGGACACAGCCGCCTGTTACATCATCGAAAGCCGCGTGTGGGAACCTCTCACCTTGCCGCTCTGTTTTAAGTCAAAACACATAAAAAAGCGAAAAACAAAAACATCAATAGCGAAACCTACAATGCCGATGAGTCACTTTGGCGAGTTCAACCAAGAACTATGTCGGTTTGCCACAAGGTCTATGAAAGGTCGCTAAACATTTAAGAGCTTGAGGTTTTGGCGGCTAAGCCTTTTCTGGAAGTTAATGCCTTTTGATGAATGATTTAGATTTTAACTTTAGAATCTCCCATTTTCGCGTCAAGTGTTCTTACTAGTCACAAAGCAATCCCTACCCAAACGTTTCTTGAAGAAAATTCACTGTCAAAATTAACTCCAAGTTCAGCCATCTTACGTCACAATTAATTTCGGGAGTAAAATAACTTAACAATATAATCTGTTTTGTAACAACGCTACCGAGTCATTAAATATTATGCACTTTACGTAAAATTAATTTTCCTTTTTTAAAAAATGGAAATTTTAACTAGCTTTTTTGTCTTCTATACGTAACTAGAGTGTTGCGATCGAAGAAAAAGATCCACCGATTTATATTTTTGCTCAGTCTGTTCTTGATCTGACTAATTACCTAGAGTTACGCTCGCTCCCTGGGCAATCGCTTTGACCAATCAGCGAAGAAAAGAAAGCGCTCTATGCTGACAGTCCGCTCTGATACTGATTACTTCATTTATCATGTCTTTTCCGCCACTTCACTTAGCTTCCATCTTCTCAAACCGCAATATATACCCCAAGGTCTACTTCCTAACATGAAATCAAAAGGAATAAATGAATTTGGGTGTTTTGAAGTGTTCTGAGCTATTTAGTTTCCAATCCGTGCGCGTAGGCTGTCTGGAGTCGCACTGAGTCCTCTCTTGGTAATCAAGGATTGCCGAAGTTTTAACAATACTGGCTTCTGAGGTTTTCAGTGCTGAAACGGAAGAAGGACGGAAATGCTTAAGAGTCTTAACGATCTTAGTCGTGCACCAGTAGTTTTTGCGTTAAGGTTTTCCTTCGTCTTTGCCAGCTCCGATGACTAATCTAACTCAAAAGCTCTTCGCAAGAATTCAGTCAACTTTAGCAGAGAAAGAGAAACTTAAATTATCATTTGTGGTGAACAAAAACATTGAAGCATGACAGAAAAAGAAAACGTTTTTTTTTGTTGTAAACGGAGAAAGAAGACGATCGCAAAAGAACGGGAAAAATTGTTAAATCCCTTCCTGAACAACTTGAATAAACATAAGTTTTAGTTATCCACTTGGTTTGAAACTGTTCCATGACAGGGATCGAGCCACACTTTATGTGCTGTGCATAAATCTACTTAATTTTTTTTTTTACGACAGAGTCAAGCTGAAGAATCTTGACTACATGTTCTGTTGCTACAAGAATTTTGTTCTGTTCACTGACTCATGGCCTTGTTTGTACGTGTCATTATATATCAATCACAATTCATTTCACTATACACCCAAACATACGTGACCAAGATAATCTTTATTAATTTGAACATATATCTTATTTGCATATGATATTGTGGCCTTTTTTCTGTAGTATATCATCTCGGCTGGCAGACAGGTCACAGTCATCCCACTTAACTCTGCGGGGTCCATAGCACGACGCATTTCATTAAGTAAGCAGGTTAAGTTAAAATTGGCAAAAAAAATTGTCAAATACTTTTAAATCATGTGGAAGGTACAGAAACATGCACAAGTAAATGTACCTGATTGCAGAAAGAAAATAAAGTTAGATACTCTAAGTCTGTTCCGTCTGGGTTACGTGGTGACTAAACATCAATGATCAGATAGTTTTTTTCCTTTACAATTGAAGAAGCAGTAGAGGGTGACTGGCTAAAGAATACGGCAAAGGAGACAAGGCACGGAGGCAGGTTAGGGAGATTACTTTCACCAGAAAAGCGTAGAGAGCCTGCTTGAACACATTGAGTCGTTATGTTGTGTTCCTTATACATGCCAAACTCCGCCTAAAAAGGAAAAAAATTAATAAATAAAGGGTACCGGATTATTATTGCCACGACAAAGCAAGGATCTTATAAGATATAGATAACATCTTACTTAAAACAGACAAGCTCGGAAGTTGAAGACACCTTCTCCCGTTTACCTTCAAAAGTTCCGCCGTTTCCTTAAGATGTTTTGTCTTGTGAATAGCAGGAAGAAGTCTAACATATTACTATGTGACAGGTTCGAGCGAAAGTAGGAATAAAAGATTACGGGCATCAGCTAGCTTCCTGTGCTGATGATAATCGATCTCACCGTCAGAGTGACGAGGGCATTTTCGTTCAAGTTCCATTTCAATGTCCCAAAAGTCTTCAATTTTCAAGTCACGTTTGAAAGGCAAAAAGGATGCTGTTTCAACGTGGACGAATGGCTAACATGAGTAAAGAGCCTTCTGAAATCATTCGTAAAAAATGGAGACGCAGAGCACGTTATTAATTGGGAAATTTGTGATTTTGGTTCACCATCATTCCAGAGCTACTTACGCAAGCGGGTCAAAGTTCATTAACAACAGACAAAAAACCGGAAAAGTGGTTAAGTTTTTTTTTTATTCTTTTTTTTTTTTCCGGCTTGAGGGCTTACTGATACAAAGTGTTGAAAATAATCGTGCCTGTGCTCACATGCATATGGAATTTTTCTTGCATATCGCGTCACCACAACATATCTTATCAGTGGTAAACAGTAAATTCTGTTCGATAGACGCACCTCTAGGAGATAGTTTGCACAGAGGTATCAAACGAGTTGAACATCGCGCCAGAGGAGCCAACAGTAGAAAGTACAAAGCAACTGACCACGCCCCCACAATTCCTTCACCTCTTCTTTCGCAGCCTTTAAGTGAATAACAAACAAGGTTCTATTCCTCCCTCTTCCGTAACAAAGCTGCTGTTGTTAGTAAGTGTAGTGGTTTAGAATTACTGGTTTAGAAAAATCTTTAAAGATAAATCGTCTTATGAAGTATCAGTCGTTTAGAAATCTTCCGTAAACTCTCAAGTCGAGCCGACACTCGAGTATGCCACTCAGCCGAAAACCTCAGCCCTCCACAAATATTTACGAAAGAAAGCATAGACGACGAGATTAATGCTGATTTCAAAGACATGTTAAGCTCTCTCAGTTTCCTCTGATAACTAGCGTTTTAAAATCTAGTACAAACAGCCAAAAGTAATTTTACTCTTGTTTACTTTGGGTTTAGTTCAGAAATGACGTGGGAGGGAGTTGTTTGTCTCCTTGATAGAGTAATTTTTTTAACGCCGGAAAAATAATTAACACATGATTTTGTAATCTTGATTTAGTAAGTAAAAAAAAAAAAAAAAAAAAAACTTGGAGTTGTTAACTCCAACATTTTTTTTTTTTTTTAAATGAATCTTGTTACAAGGGGACTATGATTCGTTAAATCTGTTGTGTTGGCCTCCAAGCTAAAAGAGGTCATTTTTCGATTACAGTTGTCTCGATATTTCTCCCTATCTATCTCTTGAGAATGTATCACTTTATTGATAACCTTGTGATTTCTATTTTGCGTGCGAGCCATAGGAAGACCTGTTGGCAAGACAATAGACTAACGTAGGTTCTCGTCTAGTGATCAAATTCTTTGTTCTTTGCGAGTTTTTTGCTTTGTTTGACGCAAACATCGTATGATTTGTTTCAAAACGCTCAATTCTCAAATTAGGTCAGGTCTTAGATCTGAAAGATAGGAATTCGTGGGTCTTTCGTTCAGAGTTAACAAAATACGAAGATCTACGATTACAGATATGTAAGCCGAGCTTCAAACTGCACATTACGGACAAAGCTGTCGGTGTAAAGAGATAAATCACAGACATGTTTGTTCGTTCATTTCGCTCAGTTAAAATAAAGAGCCATACAATAGAATTTGAACCACTGTTGGTCTTCGCTTTGAGATGATGAATGAGCAGTGATTTATTTACTTATCGCGACTTGTTAGTAGAATTCCGTTTACCACTTCTTTCAACAAAACAGCTGACCCTGCGAAAACCTTGGGTTATCAACTACGGTAGACCTCGCCCGGAGAAATCGCATCCCACAACTGTGCAATTACAGAAATGCCGATATCTCAGTTGTGCGGAAAATAGTGTAAGAAACAGTTACACAAAGCAGAAAGAGATTAATTTTGACATTCTTACGGCCGGAGCATTGAAGCGGTTTCTTTTACGCTTTGTTGAGTCGGTGAGTGAGTGCTCCACTCGACAGGACTTGAAAATGATGTCGGCAGTTTTCAGACATTAATAGTCCTTAATTGCCCGGTTTTTGTACTCACTCAGACAGAATTATTCAAGGTATGCCTTCTGACGTCAGTTTTAATGCCAAGTACTAAAAAAGCCGAGCAGAATTCGTGATCTGTTCATTCGTACAGTCAGCAAGGCTAACCACGAGGAAGCAAGTTTTCCCCCCTAAGAGTGATAAAACCAAGTCATTTTCCGAGACTGAAGAGAAGTTTTAGAAGTGAGTACAGGTAATTAAATTCAATTGCTGGGGTTGAAAACAAAGAAATCGGTTGTTTCTTAACGTATTTTTAATTGTGTGCTACGACATATTCATGACTTCACGCCTCTCGAAAGATAACGTGGCCAGTGACGTGTAGAAGGCTGGAAAAGCCTTTTTCTAAACCGCGTGCTTGAATAACTCAGGAATTTTAAAAGTAAAATTTACTGAAAGCTAATTAAAGTGTTAAATTTTGCTTTAACTAGAACAACACAACTATGTTTGGGCTTCATCACCTTATTAAGAGCTGACATTTCATTCATGCAGTTAATTTCATGTTTTTATGATTATCTGTTACATTTTTGCATGCAGTTCAAAATCAGTTGCTTTACAAGGTTTCTTTGGTTCAATTTTAATTTTTCCATCGATCAAAAATCAGCATAGTCGAATATCTTTCTTCGTGTAAAATCACTGAGCTGCGTAGATAACTTTTCTGTTAGAATAAAAGCAACTATGGCAAGTTTAGTTAAGAACAATCAGCCTAATGGCACGCTTTTGTTTTTCACGTACAATAAGCGCAATTGGGCAACCGTCAGATTGTTATTTGTCTTTCTTGACTCTGTTTATTTATTTTTAGTGTCCATGGCAAAAATGTTTGCCATGTGTCGGTAAAAGCTCTAGATGAACATATATACAGAATTGCTTTGTTTTTTTCTTGGTCTCTGTTTGTGAAGCGCGAAGTAGTTCAAACAAAGCCGAGTCCGACGTAGCTGTTGTAAACACTTCGATACTGTGGGAGTGTGCAATATTATGTAAGAGAACCCATTGATAATCGACAAGTGCTGCTCCCTTTTTCTCAAATAACCCACGTTCTCAGATTGAACGGGTCAATCGATGTTTTTCTCAGAATTGAAGAATAATCAATGTCAGATATCATTTGCTACAAAAATACCTCAATTGATAAATGCTCACGGCATCTTTTTGCGAAAAAAAATTGGGAAAAAACACTCGCAAAAGAAAAGGAATAACCGAAAAGAAAATGCCAGTTATTCACAAAGCCTAAACTCGACACCGACGAATTTCGGAGGTGGTACTCATTCATCAAACACTGACCGGTCCTTCAATCAACTCCTTTGTGCAATTTTACAGGGGTCAACAGAAACAAAATGCTTACGAAATTATAGACACTAGTTCAGTGTGCTAGACAATTCAAATGTCTCCTTGGTTCTGGAAATTTCCAATCCAAGACCAGAGAATATTGGATATGACACACCAGAACTTTCCAAACGAAGCAAAACGAGGTAAAGTATGCCCATGGTTCATCTGGGTCGACAGATTTCCTAACAACTTTATGAATAAAAGATGGAGTATTAGTATACAAAAGTTAGCCCCACAGTATGATGTTTAGAAGCCTAAATCTTTTGAATTTCGAACTCAGAGTAGAGACACCCTTTTAATCTTGAGTCTCTTGACGCCGCGGAGCTGCACCAGTGGAGGTCTGATTAATTTAGAACTTTTATCTTTTTCTCTAATCTCTGAACGACGTTCGTCTGGAGTGTCGCTCTTAATGACTAAAATAGCAAGGTCCTTGATGGTCAGTCCGCAGGTTTATTTGACGCGCTGAGCGTGAGTTCCGCAATAACAGGTATTATCCATCACGTAGTAGGACCTAAAAGAGCAAAAGCCATGACTAGGGAAACAAAATGTGGTTGACCCGCTCCACAAGTTGAGGGAAGTTCAGAGAAAGGCCGGATTTAGTGAGCGGATTAGGAACCCACTAACTGCGACGGTCACCAACTTTAATTTGTTGTTGTCGTTCGTTGTCTAATTTACTCTAACATGATCATCGTTTCATACCGAGAAAAAACACCTTGTAAACTCTACAACGAAATTGGCTCTCCGCACTGACTTCTGCTCGAAAACTGATAGAACACACATGAATTATTTACAGCCTCTCACAAGTGGGAAGATGGCCGTCAGCCAAAATGTGCGCTTAGTCCACTACAAATAACAGTAAGTGTTTGACTCTTTGAACCTGTTGAGAAGATCCTTATCTCGCTGAAGGCATCTCTGAGTCTTTTATTTTTCAGGGAAGCCGCAAAGTGTCTGTTATCACCACAAATGTGGCCGACAAAATTGAACTTTAAAATCTGAAAAGAATAAAATTACATCGCGTGCCGATATAAGCTTGCTCTTGCAGGTCAAAGTGAACACACACAGCTTGAAAATAAAAACACAGCCAAAACAACTAGGGCAAGCGATGACCTTGACATCAGTTCCTACCCTGCTCATAGCTCACGCAAAATAATATTTACTCATGAACATCCACCAAGATAAAAATTTTAATATTGAATAGGAGATTTCAGCACAAATACAAAAACAAACATGCGCTGAATAGTCCGCGAAAAGCGCGGGAAACGCAGGCTGGCATCGCGTGCGCACGAACAGTGTGCGTAATGGAGTGTACAGAATGGATTACCACCCGGTGATCCGACACGCTCTTTGGCGAACACCTGATTTCGAATGTAAAAAAGGAAAGAATCAAGAATTCCTTTTAAATCTTATCGTCAATATGTTGAATGATACGCGGTTCATGGAAAAGAATGCCTGCGCGTCATTACCAAATTAGTCACTCTGGGGACCGTGGAAAGTGGACATTATATGAGGCAGGGTCTGAAATACGACACCTTTCTCAACAAATATTAGAACATTCTTTGTTATAAAAAGAAATGCTCAACTTAGCTCGTAACATTATCCAAAGAAAGATCACGAAAGTTGGCGTTCAGGAGCAACACTCAGTCAAAGCAAACTAAAGAAGGTAGGAGAAAAAGAGTTTGTGCAAATTACGCATTGAATATATTTTTTAAGGATTGTGCGCTTGAACAAGTTGTTGCCAACTTTTTTCGTCAGTACATTATTAACCCAGGGTTGTTTAGAGTTATTAAGAGAAAGAAAAAGAACTTACGTTAAACAGAAGTCCTAACAAACTTGGCTAACTCCTCATTAGTCTTCTCGTTTCTAGACAACGCAAAATTCAGGCGATTTCACATTGTTGTTTTGTATAGGATGGCTAAGGAACGTAGGTAGTTTTAAAAAGCGCGCACAGAGTTCCTGTTCCTCGCATCAAGCCTTTTGCTTCCAAATTTCTTGTTGCTATCCCATTTGTGGTTTTCCCTGAAGTTCCCTATAGGAGGTAAGTTTCTAAAGGAACTGTGGTGCTGCGTTGGTGGGGGAGTATAACAAATTGAACAAGATGATTTGATTTTATAAACAGAGTTGATAATGTAAATTAGCCACCGTAAAGAGTTTCTAAAACTGACGTTTCGAGCGTAAGTCCTTCATCAGAGCCCCCCGAGTTCAAGCAGGCGTGGTCATTTGAGAGATTATTTTCTTCATGTCCGTTTACGATACTTGTTGAAAGTAGCCACCGTTTTCCTCGAAGAACTCCAATGAATAGCATTCCTACAGTCAGAATGTAAAGTTCCCAACAAATAAGAAGAAAAAGCTTCTTATTTTCCAAAAGATAGCAGTTGTTTCCAAACAGTCACTGTAGTTGTGTAATAGCTCGGCTCGTAAAGACGCTAAACCTTAAAGAACTTAGAACTGAACAAAATCTTCTCCCTCGTAAATTTCAGGGTTAGCAGGGGAACCATTTGACCTTTGAGACTCGTAACTCCTGCCATCAATTAGCTCAGGGATTCATAATTCATTGGCAATCTTTTTTCGATATTCATGATTTTAACTATATCTCGTTTATAACACGAAAATTCACAACTCCTTCGGATTTAAATGCTAGAATTTATGATTGACGATTCTGCTTTCATCCCGTATAGCTTATATGTTTGCATTAAATCAGTGCGCCTTTGAAGAGCATAACTTACATACTCAGACGGGTTGTTGTCACGTTATTTATTTGGAAGTTCTTGTGTGGAAAAATACTTCACAGATGATACTTAGTTTTGGCTAATCTGCCCTGACAAATCAAATTAGTTTCGGTTCAATCTTTGTCGATAGAAATGCCTCGCATGATGTGGAAAAATAATAAAACAAAACCTCAAGCTTTACGGTGACAATGGATTAACTAGGTGACTTACGCCAACTTAAGTACTTACGTAATTGAAAAAAAGTTTAAGGGGGCAAGCAAAAAGTGAAGAGATTGATAAAATCAAATTAAAGGTTAACAGCTCATTAAATAAGTTCAAACCGTAGAGTAATGACATTATACTTTGAGAGGTCTGCAGTGTCATTATGATCCAAAATGGAATAGGTATCTTCAATTTATTCAAATTTGCACTTTGTTCTCTGGAGGGAAGAAATAGCAACGCCCACGCCTCTTCTTGCATCAAACTTTGAGATGTCAGATTTCAGGGTCCCAGTTCTTGAAAGTTTCGGTAGCTAAACGGGCCTGAAGCCTTTCTTTAAAATCAAAAATTTAAATAATTGAGTGGCAGTTTCTTGCACCCTTACCGGTCCATTTGTTTCTTAAGCGAATAGTTTGATGTTATAATTTTCAAAACGATTCAAACCCTTTTTTTGAATGAAAGCAGAACAGCTGTACGGGTCTATTAAGATACCACGACCTTCGAGAAACCCAAGTCGGTCCAAGGTCACATACGGACGTGATGCAATCCCCTGAAACTGATCATGGCTGCTTGCTTGTTAAGCAGTCAGTCGGGCCACTTTGTGGTGTTGTATACCGATCCACTGAAGTTCAATCAATTTTCAATTATTCATCAAAATCAGGGGAATCCACAGGTAAACTAAATCTTTCCTGAAATCCGCTTGTGGAGCCTTCGCTGAATGGAAAAATTTGTCATCACAGATGAATCTTATGCAAAATGGCTGCCAAAACTCTGTTTGAACTTGCCGGCCAGTCAGATCATTCACAGCATGAATTTATCCCCCAGGGGCATTGGAATATGTTACAACGTTTCGTTTTAAAATAATCATATTCGACGAATTAAAAAAGCCATCCATGGACAAAGATCTGTTGGAGTCGTTAAGACGAAGCTTAGGGCTGGTTTATTTCGATGAAAATGCGACATGATTGTGACACTTGAATCATGAAAAACGCGTCACTTGGGTGGAAAAGTACTCTTTATGAACACGAGAAATTGCATATATATATATATAGTGAGAGAGAGAGGCTGTTGTCACGCGAAAAATACGTTTGTCTTATATGCACATATGACACATCCTTTACATCAAACGTAGAAAGAGGTGTGCAAATGTCCGTCAGAGCTGCAGAGAAACTTTCGAGGCTGAGTTTGATCTCAAATAATGCCATCAGTCTGTTAATTTTCGTCCGGTTTTTTACAATACCATTTCATTTTACTTTGAATCCATGTTATGTATAAACTTGAACGTTGTAATTGCTATAACAGGACAAGGCCAGGAGGAGAATTCCAATCAGATATAGCTCCTAGTTTTAAAAATCCCAGTTTATTTTTGCCATTGTTCCCAGATTTCCATGTCAAAAGACTCGAGCCAAACCTGAGCATTTCCAGTCTATCGGTCTTAATGAATTGTCTTAATCAGTTGCACAAACATAGTTTTCTAAAGCCACTCTTGCACGAGGATTTTAATGAGCCCTGAAGGGAAGAGATCATGATATAACTCTTTTGGCAGAGAAAATATTCTTAAATAATAGCACGCTGAAATCCAATTCATGCTGCAATCGATATTTGTAACTTATATCATTGCATATGAATAACTTTAGATTTTTATTGCAGGGACAGAATCGAATCTGACACACCAACTCAACGACAATGGGTCCAAGAACCACGGAATTTATCACTTTCATTGCGCTGTTGATGTTCTGTACTTTGATAGTGTTGCCCTCAACCAGAGGTAGGATTTAAAGACAATCTTCTGCTAAGTGTATGTGTTTTTCATTTCGTAGATGAGAAAATAAAACTCCAAAAATGTAGAATGATACAGCTTTCAGCCATTTTCCTATTACTGCTGAGTATTTATTCGCCTTTATTGAAATTTTTCATCTGAACCGACTTAGTTCAGTGAATAATCCGTGTTCAAAATGTGTTTCCTTAATGAATCTCAGAGCACTGCCCTTTCAAACAGCAAAATGTTACATCTTCTGTTACTCACACGGTGGAAGATGATATCAAACTCACTGTTCTCATGCAAGTTTCCCAACTATAAAAAAGGGGAATTAATCTCTCTAATCCTGACATAACTTACATACTGAGGTTATGTGTTATCTTTCAAAATTATTAAACTATTCGCGTTCCGTTCAGATCCTTGTATGACCTCCCAGGAATATGTGCGTTTATCTTTTGAATTGTATAAAAAAAAAACGATTCTCGTGGAACATCTGGTAGTATTACAAGCCGGTAACTTAAAAACAAAGTAAGGTTAAGGTCGCGTGAGTGGTGACCACTCCTTCTTCCTGATGTCAAATTGTTGCTACGTGGAAAAAAACGTTTTCATCTTAAATTTATGTCGCCCTCTTGTTGTACAAGAAACGGCATGATTCAGCCATTTCGAGAAAATTTCTCCGGAAATAATTCAAAGAAAAGAGTTCACAAAAACAAGGCTTTGAAGTTTGGTCGAGAATTTTTTATCTATTTAGAGAGCTCGAGGTATAAATCAGAGTGACTTTCAGGCGGATAAGCTGCACGATTGTAAACTGGTTTTTAAAAATCTATAAATGATGTCCGCTATCACTTTGGAAAACTCAGAACTTTGACAGATTCTGGATTGAATGTTAAGTGTTCTCTAAATTAAAATGTAATTGATCAAGCAATCTGCGTGCGGTGACGCAAAACCCACGTCTTGAATGTGATTTCCCCCGGAAATTGACACTTCTTTTAGTGCACGATTTCAATTAAAGTTGGAAAACTTTTGGCCCGATATCAACCGGATCCATTGATCTGTTGGTTGTTTTAAAAAGCTGGATTTATTACAGAATGAACTTGAATGTCAATTGCCACATTGCAGTCATTTTAACTTACAACGCCTTTTGGGCCTTTGTTTCCTTCGCGTGCTGGAATTTTAAATGCATCATAATCATCATAGCCAAATAATTTGAGATATTTCAACTTTTGGCTTCCTCTACAGCGCAGTTCGTCCATAGCTCACTGTTAATTTCACGAACAATCTCTAAGCAGCTAAGCGCCTTTTCTACGTAGGCGAATTGACGACGATCGGAAGCACCTATTATTGGTTTTGCTGAGCCAGGATTCGATTTAGACAGAGAAGAATCCCACTGATGCAGATACAAACTTGGCTTCACCCCCACCCCCCTCTCCCTTCTCCCCAGCGCCCTTTGACAAACGTTAATAACTCCATGAACATTCACGAAATCGTGGAATGGTACTGATCAACAGATCGCTGTCAAACTTGGTCATTTAAGTGATTTTTAGGCGGTCTTTCCAACAGTGAGGTTGCTTTTTCTTGACCAATTCATGTCAAGAGTGCTAGAGCCTGTTTTCAATAATCCATCTGCCCACGTACCGCAAATAAGATCATCAGAGTTCAAGAAAATTCACTAGATCCTTCCCATATCTCGGTCCCCCAAAATCTGTTAAGGCAGACAGGAACGTCAATTATAAACTGAAATCTCAGTGTGATACTGCAAATCCCAGCTGTGGTGCCAGATCGTGACCCCCGCCCAACAAAAATAGTTTCTCCGGGAAATAAATGTTTGATTTAACTACACACGACGTGCCGAATTTTGAACTCTGGATCAGAAGTTGTCGTACGATGGAAGACACAGTAACTTACCTACATCCAAGTTTAGAATCCTTCCAATTCGGATCCTTCGCTAATCTTTAATTGTTTGAACTCAATATAACCACGATAACATATCACCGCTTCTTATCGATAGCGTTGTCAATCATTAGTTCTTGATTTACAAAGTGGCCGTATGTTCGCCGACTATTTATCACTATTATAATTTTTACGCACCTTAAATGTGCTCGTATAAGGATAGTTTTGCCCATGCAAGCTTTTGAAGACTGCACCACGTTTACGATCAACGGCGACTATGACAGTTTTATATACCAGCTTTTATTTGAAGTTTCAATTAGGAACATGATGCCTCCAACGAATCCGACTTTGATGAATTTCACTGATTGCCTTCCTTACCGCAATGTAAACGTTATCGATCAATCTTTCCTTGTAACAAATTGACAATTAGGAGAGGAAACTGACGAAAAAGTGGTTTCCAAGAACAACACACAGTTGCGAAATCTGTCTCGCCATTCAGGATTCAGGTCTCTTCAACCGCTCTGTCTATTTGAATAAGATTACGAGTTCTACAGTTTTATAAAAGTGTGAATCGACTGGTGTAAAAATAGACCGCTTAGGCTTCTACATCTCTAATTATAGACTTATCAAAACAACAACAGAAAATGTCCTCTTCACTCATGTAAAGTCATGTTTGTAAACAAAATGCTAAGGATTCAAGAAACTGCGAGAAGTTTCCTTATTTCCCAGCTGCTGCTTTATTTTGCTCAGCTGGAGTCGGAAGAAGTGATCATTTCCGAATTCAGTATAACTTCCTGTCTAAATGTCAGATCAAGAGACAGGTTTGATGGCTAAATAAATTCCCAATCCCTGCATGCAAGCGGCATATAAACACACGTGTAAAAGTGTTCCACAGTCGGTGCGTGTGTTCGTATCTGAAGTGACTAGCGATGGCGCAGAGATCTACTACCTTGGCGGGCGTCGTTCAGCTCATCAGCATTCTACTCGTCTTTGCCCATGCAGCAAATGGTACGTGAAAGAAGTTAATGTCTTTCTTTTTTTTAGTTTTTTCTCTGCGTGCGTGTGTGTTCGCCTTTTTTTGCTCAGTAGTCGATTTGCCCGACAGATTTTCGTTGTTTTTAGTTATGCAAGGAATAGCCGATGGGCGAATGACTGTAATTGTTTTTAAATCTAATACCTTGTTTTTTGCCTCGTGAGAAGTTACCATTTCGTTAATCCTATTCCATACAAATAAATGACAAGGGCTTTTGAAGATTCCACTCGGTAAACTTGCAAATTTCGCCTTCATTTGTCAATTTTCACGATGAGTGAAAAAGAGGATTGCTGAACAAAGTATGTAGGTATGACGTGGACAATCTTCGTTGTCAAGGGACTGTATGCCTAGTCTTCTTCCCAATCAGTGATACAGAAAAATTTTGTCTGCACGGCAAGCCCACAGGTGTTCCTATCTGTTTAATGTCTGCTCTAAAAATTTGGCAAAAATCACGAGATCTTAGACTTTCAAATGTTTCCCGTGAAGAGTTCTCAAACCATCATGGTGACGGACGAAATCCTGGGCAAATATCCACTAAATTGCCTTCGAGAGCTTGCTCTGCACTCATAAGACCTTGTTGCGGAGATCAGCGGAAAGAACACAGGCCTTTTTGGTTCTGTAACCGGCCTGATCAGTGACACTTCGTCTGTAGCTGGAGGCTCAAAAAAGGTTTAATCTCAAATCCAACCGAGTACAGATAGACACAGAAATGGATTGATACTGTGCAGATTGCTGTGGTATACATTTCTTATTCATTTATTTTATGCCCACTCTCCTCCTTTATTTTATCAAGTTTATCTATTTTAGTTGAGTTGTAATCCCTCTGGATGCGTTTTCAAGCAACTCAAAAGGATCAAACACTACACATGAATATGAAGTTTTAATTCCGGGAAGAACCGTATGCGTCATCTTTGAACGAACACCTGTGCGAGAGGGCAAAATTTATCTTAATACATGAGTAAAACTTTTCATGTTAAAAGGTTAAACAAGGAAAATCTATTGGGTGTATCATATAGTCGATGATTAAACAGCTTTCTCCGTGGGAGTTTGTTTCAAGTTCTTGAACTTTTTTTTTCACACGAGATCACATTCTCTACAGGAACGCAGCTTGAGTGTCCGCGGCAAAGACTTCAACTTTATTTACGAAGTTGTTAACGACGAACGAAGAAGTTGCATGAAGCGTATAGTCGGGCGCTGCAATAAATTGCGTTCTTGATATTATTTTTGGAAGTAAAAGTTTAATTAGACAAAATGATGCAAAGAGGAGAAGTTTTGAAATGAAAACGTCATGACAGCTCCTTAAAACTGCGCGTTAATGTACATCGTCCTCTTCTTTGGCTGCGATACAATAAAAACAACCAACATGCTTACGTTTACTTTTTGCGGTGATTTCCAGACTTTTAATTGAATCAACAAAGAAAAGTAGTTGTTGACTGCAACAGTAGAATAGTTGATTAAAAAGCTTTGAGTGAGCAGATAAGACTTAGACGAGCCCATTCAATAAATTTCATTTGATGTGTAAACACTTTCGAAGCTGATAAACGTACTTTTCAGTGTCCGTTTAAGAGAATATCCATTTTCTTAAGCATTTTCCCTTTGAATATTGCAATATATGAAATAGGAAATAACGTGTTTTTCAATCAGAACTCATTCAAATAATTCTGGCAGCAACTCGCGGGCTGATTGGAAAGCGGCTTTTCTTCAAGATGGTTAAGTAAGTTGGTCGAAAAATATATATATCAGGAGAAGACAAACAGGACAAGAAAAACAATGCGTTGTTTTCGATGGAAAAATGAAGTGCATGTTTAGTCTAGGATCTAAATATGTCGGATGCGGGTGGGTGGCTAAGACCCACCAGAGACACTAAAATAACTCAACAATGATATCCACTGATTGCGCGGAAACCCATCTCTTATCTGAGGGCGGTGTTCAAAATTTTTTTTTTTCCGTCTCCCATTGTTTGTATCTTACGCAATGATCTTTAGTTCCACTCTTAAATGGCTTACAACTTGTTATATCTTCAGCGGGAAAACCATCTTTTAAGCTGTATGTCTTTATTCATGTTTGAAGACGTTTTGAATTTAAAAAAATTCGTAAAATCTGTGCGATTGAATAAACAGAAGGTCTGCGTATGTTGTTTTGAAGTGTAAAAAACGGAAGCCACTCAATCAATGACACTTCTCGCTGTAGAAAGCAAATTCCCGGCCGCTCCTCAACGATTTATTGTTTAAGTAAATTATACCTTGTGTCTGTTGGATTATCCTGCCAGAAATCAATGGAAAAATATATCAAATGAAAACACAAATATCCTGTGGTCGTGTTTAGCACTTAGCTAGCTGTGCTCTCTTCTGGCGGTATCCGGTCATGTTTCCTTCATTGGCAATCAGCAATTTGCCAACGACATCATCGCACTAACCTCTTTGATCTCTTTTTGGCCGGGGTGGGGGGTGGGGTCGAGGTACAAGGGTAACGAGAAAGGGCAATTTAATGGGCAACTATTCATGTTCGTGGCAGAGTTTCTGTTATGATTTACCGTTCGGTTTCTTTGTTGTTGGTTTTTTTTTCGAAAAAAAATGTTACTATTGAAAAAAACACGATCCATGATGAAGGTACTTTTATCGACTTTCTAGTTACCGCCGTTCATTGCAACTCATTAGTTCTCTCAATTGAGTTCAACTGTTTAATCCATTTACACATCTTCGTGTGCGGAGAAAATCAGTGCACTCCACATAGTTGCTTAATTGCGTTTTGCATCGAATTCCTAAGCATGTAAATAAGCACAATGCCAAGCCCATTTATGCTTGGCGCGGCGGGTAACATGATTTTAACAGACGTAAATGCGATCATGAACTCTCTTGTTAGGCATGGAGAGTGAGTCGCTATCATAGGTTGACTTTGTCCCATTCGGTTCTAATTCTACCTTTATTGAGGGCTCAAATTCATCAAAAAGGGACTTCGCGGGTACAAATCGGAATCCACAGGTCTTGTTTTCAGTCAATCAGCCTTTTTTTTTACAAGGTAAAGTCTGTAAGTATCGCATTATCTCAATTTCATATACAAGAAAAAATATATGAACAGCAAACTTTTAAAGGATCTAAGAATCCAACCCTAGCCGCGAAGATTAGAGGCGAGTGCTTCATTCTTTCGCTATAGCTATCTCTGCTTCTCCTAATTCCAACGGCTTGATTTAATAAAGTTTACCCTGATAACAGCAATTTTAAGTGAGATCAAGAATGGTGTAACCTCGATGTTTTCTGGCCCTTCTTTGCTAATCTACTACAATATGTTTCTCTCTTAGGTGCAATGTTTTGTTTTTCGAAACGCATCGAGGTAGAGAACCGCTGCACAGTTCATCTTGCTCATAACCTCAGTAGCCCTGTGAATTGCTGCGAGGCTTATCCAAATGCGTATTACATTATCACCAACATTTCACACCTGACACCAGGTTCAAAGGATCACAAACTGTACATGGAACGTTTGAGATTTATTGGCGCCGACAACTGTTTTGCATCTTGTAGAAAAACTGTTGGTAAGTTTTTAGTAGAAGTGACAGCCGCTTTTAACGCAGCTATTCAATTAGACAACAAGATGGGATTATTCTTCCATTTTATATCTTTCCAGTAACTTCTGTGCATCGCATGCCGCCTATTTACTCTTTTATTCCCAAGATGTGTTGTCAATTCTCCCCTCCAGCTGATACATAGTTTTCCTTGTAAATAAGTTACGAGAACTTGGTGTTAGATCAAGATAACAAGTTAACCCTTTCACTCCCACAAGTGACCAAGACAGAATTTCTCCTTACAATATCAATACAATATCACGCAGGCAGGTGATGAGAATAGAGAAGAATATCAATCATGGGATTATTAGTTGATCCAATACCAAATTCTCTGAACTAACATCATAAGAATTGTATGGCAGATAGTAAGGAGAATTATTAATCAGATCTTGGGAGTGAAAGGGTTAAACCTGATTGAGTTCGAGTAATCTCATAACCTGTTGGCTGGATAATATATGGATATTGTAGGGAGAAATTACATTTTAATCACTTTTGAGAGATTAAGGGTTAAAACAGGTAGAATCACTTTGCAAATGATGGAGCGAAAAAGTAAGTAAATCAATAATGTATCTGTTTATCAGTTTCAACTTTTGATCTTCTTAATGCGTCTTCCCCTGTCGCTAAATCAAACCAAATTAAGCGGGGTTATCGGGTGATAGATGATCGCCGTAATTTTACCGCGTGATGTGATTTATGATTTGTGATTTCAGATACAGGAAAGAAGTGTAGAGTGAAGCCAAACGGAAAGGTGAAATGTTCGTGTTCCAACCAACCGCGTCCAGTATGTTCGACAGATCTGTGTACGTACAAAACTGAGTGCGCATTCAAGGAAGCCCGTCAGAATGGAAGACTTGAACTTGAGGTGGCATATCGTGGGATGTGCCAAAGTAAGTAAGGGAAACGTCCAGCATTAGATGTTGCCATGAAAGGTAACAAATGTGCTGCGAGAATTCGCTGAAAAATATTAGCCAAATTACAGTCTGTTTTAAATTACACATTACATGAGCTATGTGGCAGTTATCATTCCCTCAATGTGCAGCACATGATAAATTTGCATGAAAAGTATGCCACAAGATAGAGAAAGTAGCAAAATAAAATAAATAAATAACATTGTGGGCGATGTCCTCGTAACTTTTATCTCTCTACATTCTGCCTCAAGGCATCCCTCGTTAGTACACGATAAAAACGTTACCTCCATTGAAAGAGGTTTATGTAATTTATATAGTTTACAGTTCACAAGAAAATAACTGTGATGACGATAACGATGAAGATAATGAAGATGACGATGATAATGATGACGACAACGGCAATGATGATGACGACGACGACAACGGTAATGACGATGACAACGACGATGATAACGATGACGATAGTAATGACGATAGTAATGACAATGACGATTGTAATAGAAATGATGTTGACGATGACGATAAAGACAACGACAACGGGGACGACGGAAAATGTAACGACGACGACGACGATAAATGATGATGATGTTTCTAAATATTATAATCATTACTTTTTTTCTCGTAGCTGGCTGTAGGAACGTTTCCTGTCGAAAGAATCGTACTTGTGTTTTGGACAAATACGAGCGCGCGCTCTGTATTAAGTGCAATTATCCGTGTGGTTCATACCACGGCGGAGAAGTTTGTGGGGCTGATAATATTACGTACCAAAGCAATTGTCATCTCAAACAGAAGACCTGCGAAAAAGGGACGACGATAGGTGTGGCGTACAAGGGAAGATGTCATGGTAAAGAACAGCCATCCATCTGTTCTCTTTTCTCCTTTAATGTGAATTTTTCATTTGAGTGTCAGATATTGCCCTGCGATTGTATTGGTTACTGACGCTCCTTAGTTGTGCTCTTCCATTGTTTCTCTTTTTACCCAACTCGCGCGGATGGCCTTCGGTGCTCACTTGCAATCAGCGAAACCTCACCTTGTGTCTGTTTTCATACGCATTTGGTTTATTTTTGGTGCTCCGGCTAACTCTTTTCAACTTAATTATCAATTGCTCATTTTAGGGGACGTTACATGATATTAGATGGAATAAATAAGACATGCCATGCGGTAGCTCGAAGGAGCAGTCGATTTGTATTGTGAAAGACCGTGACCTCGAACTCTAACAAGCCTCTCCCCCCTTCCCTGCCCGCCCACTTCCCCAGCAACATTTTTAAGAACTCGATCAAAGATTTTCATGACGCGGACCTTTTAGCCTGCAACTAAAATATAGATCTTCTTGGCACCATGTCTTATATCCCCCATATATTTCTGAACGTCAGATAATCAGACTCTTGTTCTGTTTTTAACAGCGAGTGCTACATGTGACAGTATAAACTGTGGAAACAAGCTGTGCGTACTCGATCATCAAGGGCGACCTCGATGTGTCACTTGTAAATGTCAGGAGTCCAAGCCGATTGAATGTGCAGGGTCAGGAACTTCCATGCCGACTATAATATGTGGCTCAAATGGGGTAACTTATCAAAATTTCTGCAAACTGCGAGAAGACATGTGTAGTCAAAAGATATTCATCGATATAAAACATCTTGGAAATTGCAAAGGTAACGTGAATAATATTTTACTGTGATATTTTCAACCATAGAGTATGTAAGAGCGATTTTCCTTTGGGTGTTGTCAAACCAAACCAAAATACCATAATTACAACTGCTCATCAGAGCAAAGGCAAATTTCACAAAAATTTCTCAAATTAAAAATAAGCAAACTGCCTCGATCGCGGGGAAAAGCGTCTGGTTTTATTTTCAAATCTAATTGGTTGAAAAGGTGGCGCAAATTTCCCAGACCAGTTCAGTACAGAGCGAGGAAAAGTGAATTACGTACGACACGGAATTGATAATTTCTCCAACAGAGTTGCACTAAATTCGATGAACATTGTTACAGGGTATTTCAATAAAGAAGTGAAAGTTTTGAATAGTACGATAAGGTAGAGAAACTCATTAGAGGCAAAATGGATCAAAGATGGCCGAGGATGGATAATCATGTTTGCAAACTTATTAAATGTACGTCTGCTTTGTTGAATTATAGGGCTTCTCTGAAAAGCGTTGTCTGTTTCCTTATAGTTGTTTAGCATTGTCTGTATTGTTAAAAACTGAGGTATTTTGCCTTGACCTGATTTCTTAGGGAAGCTGCCGCCAAAAGACGAGGTACCAAAACTGATAGCCACTGCGAGTCCAATAGCGAAACCCTCCAAGTCACAGGACGTAAGCAACTACTACATCAGTCTGAGAAATTTGGTAGACATCTTGAGGAATAATTATCCGTTGAATATAACAACGCCTAAGTACAAAAAACTCCGAAACCACGAAAAGAAGATATCTGTAATTAAGCTCTTGGAGCAAATAAAGACGAAGTGGAGAAGGGTAAAGAGCTCTTCCCCTCAATAAAGCCCTGGTTTCGTGCGAGGGCGACATTGGTAAATGGGATTAACGACCAAAAAAAATCACGAATTCACGCGGTTTTGTGAGGAAAACTGACTGATAAAAAAAAATTGTTATGATGCAATTGCTGCCTGTATGGGGTAAATTATCCAAGAGGTCGACGAATGATTGCAAGAGATACGGTGAAGTTTCCGATCTCATTGGATCAGCTGAATACAATTTTCCTATATCAAAAAAACAAGTTTCCTTGAAAATTTATAAAGTACTGCTTTCCGCATTTTGCTACAGTTACAGCGCATAACTTTTACATCAGGTGATTTACTAATGAAAATATTTAGGATATTGAGAATGAAAACTGCAAACTAAGAGCTCTCAAATATTCCTCGCTAAACTTTTTGTTGAAAGCCTCTCACACAGTTCTACAGTGACTGTTGTCAAGTAAAACATATCGTTGTTCAAATGAACTTCTTATATTAAGACGCATACGCGTTTCAAGAGACAATGCCAAACGCTCCTTCCTAGATTCCTAGACAGAATCCAGCGTAACTTCTCGGTTATCACTGGTTGTATCATAGCCTCAAGGAAGCTTCTAAGGTTCACAAAACTTCGACCGTATGTAATTCAATGTATTTAGCCTTTTTATGGATGTAAGTTATTTTTTATTGTTATCGACATAGACTTAGGAGAGTCTTGCATTGCAAGAGGACAAAAACATATTTACTCTTTTTTTTATATTTTGCCAGAATTTACTATATGCCTACGAAAATAAATGTAATATAATATCTTCAAGGTTTGTTGCCACTTGTCTGCGTTTGGGAATCTACTGAGGAGGACACTTATTTTCGCAAACTCCGTTGATCCGCAATACGATTCGAAGCCCCTTTTCTTGAAATGGTCTGCTCAGAGGGCTGCCAATTATGAGAATACTTACTCGACCAGGATCAGGTTGTTCAAAGTACGAATAACCTTACCCGGGTCAATGTAAATTTAAAAAAATTTTTTAGAGCTTTGCAAAGGGTTTTTGTTAATTTTTCCCGTTAATTTCGAGTTCTATCGAGATAAACCCCAACAAAACCTCAGATTACACGCGCTTCAGAAATTGTAGCTAAGGTTAACTTTTAATCCTTGATTAGCTTTAAACGCCTTTCGGACAACCCAGCCCAGATGTAATATCTAAAAAGAAGAAGCTTTAAAAAAAAGTTTTCGGGTCAATATTTATGATTACTTCAGATGTGGGCACCACGCAGAATGCGTTTCACCTATGAACATACTATGTGAAACTATAATTCTTGGTGACTGTTGCCCTACGTAGCTTTGCACCAGAATATAAGCCGCTATGTGAGAAGGTCTGAGGGTCGATTCGAGGAACACAGCCGTCAAAAGTTAAGCATGCGCGCCAACTTCCCGCGCGAAATTCCAAAGGGAAACTCAAGAAATCACCGCTGTCTCCCAAAATAAGCCTAAGAAAATTGAAACAAAAATAAGGATAAGGGAAACACAAAAGTTTTCAAATACAAAGCTTACTCAAGTACAGGTATCTTGCTGATTTACCATTTTGTTTACAGCCTTACCAAAAAAGTTATACGCTCCCAAAACATCATCATGTGGTTGCTTGTGGCTTTTATGAGCGTGGAAGCACGCCACCTATTTTCGCACTGGCACAGACGCTGGACCGCTGTGTTGATCGACCCTCAGACCTTCCGACATCTATCGAGTCTATGCGCTGGTGCAGAGCCACATAGAGCGACAGTCGGCATAGAACTCTAGTTTCAACTTCCCACACCATAAGTGAAAACCATTCTGCGTCATGCACACTTCTGACGAAAGCGTCACACTTATGGATCCGAGAACTCTTTTCAAAGCTTCTTCGCTTTAGATATTACATTTGGTTGAAAAATTGTTCTTGCAACGGACAACTTTGTGACCATTTCAAGAAAATCAATTATAATCGTATTCTGAAGTTAGCAAAGTGTAACACAGTGGTCATATGTCTGCACAAGTATGACCGTCGTTATGACAGATGGCGTGTTACATGTAATAAGTAGCGCGCATTCACTGCACCACGATTGCTTCAGGATGTATCAAATCTGATTCAGAGAGCAGAACAAAACTCGCTTAGTTACCGTAAGTTGCACACCACAGACATGTTGCTCCGCGCGGAGGTGAGTGACACTTACAGTTAACCTCTTAGCTGGCAAGTGAACGTGTGAAATAAAACAGCTGTTGACTGGTTTGGTATATTATAATAAGCAAAAAGAGAAGTCTACAAGAGATAGAAAAAATCAGAACAGCTCTAAACGTTTTTTTTATTCTTACGTTACTGTTGTAACGTTTTTACAAAGCTCAGAGCGACTGTTTTAAAATTTGTCCCACCCTAAAACAAATAAATTACAACAAACTCTTTCACGCAAGAAGTTGGCCTCTGGGTAGAAAAAAGTATATGCTAACTTTAAATATTTAAATCCATTTTTACTTTATATGATTAGAAAAGTAAATAGGCATATTTTTTCAATGAAATAACATTAACTAATTTAAAATTTTAGTCTACTTTTATGATAATTTAATTTAATTATTTGCCAGACTTGAATTATAAATTGTTTTGATTTAGAGGATACCTTTCAAAAGAAGTAATTAGCTGGCGAGTATTGGTTGTTCTCGTCGATGTCACGTAGCACTCCTGGCTGCCGGGGCGACTGGCTGAGTAGCGAACATTCCTTGAAAAAAACGAGGAGAGGATGGGTAAAATAAATAAATTCAATGACTTAGAGTTCCGTATGCTGGCGATCCTTTTGACTTTCAGTATCAGACATTTCCTGATTGTTATTATCCTCAGACTGAGATTCGTGTTCCTTTGTTCCATCAGCACTATCATCTTCCGAATCCTCCTCCTGGTAATCGTCAATGTATGTCAACAGCCGCCCAATGTCGTCATATTTGATATCATAAATCTCCTCGGGGGATACTTCACCATCCTTATTCGAGTCCATTTCGTGAAAATTCTGTCATAAAATCAAAATAATAAATACAAAACAAAAGAAAAGAAAGAAGTCAGAATTTTACGAAGTGGATGAAAAAAGATAACAAGGAAGTTTTTCTCCCGTGTTTATCTTCGCATCTGCTCAAAATAATGATAATGAAAGTCCAAGAACTTATTGTTATAAGATTTGTCAGTGCTTTCTCAATATTTCCTCATTGTTAAATCACAGGGTTCAATCCTTAGAAGCAAAATAAATTATGATGGTAGGAATAAAAACAATGTTCTTGATAAAAAGAATGATGACAATGAAGGTTTTAAATTATGTTGATCAATATTGTTGCCTCTCCTCACCTCTAGTGAAATCAGTGCAAAAACAAAAACAACATAAACAAAAACAACATCTACAAATTCAAAACAACATCTACAAAAACGACAAAATAACATTAATGATATTGATAATGAGGGCATGAAAATCTACAAGGCAGCCCTTTTTCTTCTAAGTGATGCAGAGCATTTTAGGTTAAGTGAAGGGAGAAGCGACCTCTGACTACCTGCTCTAGTGTCTCTCTTGGTAGAATTGATACTTCATCCCCAAGTTCTTTAGCATCCTCCTAAAAATAAAATGCCAGTTTCCCATCAGTGACCATCAGCATATTATGAATTGATTTAAGCTAAATTTAAAAGAACATTAAAAGAAAAAAAATAACGTACTTGATAGACACCCTCTAGCTAAAGGCACACTCCATAAATAGTAAAATGAATGAAACAGAACATGACAGCATGGCTGTGCTCTAGCAACACTCAGTGGCACCTGATGTCTTACTTTAACTCTTGGGTGACAAGGGAATCTTACTTTTAGCATAAAAAGCACATGCTGGGCATCTTGGATTTCACGAGCACATTCCACTGCATGTTTTTAATTTTAAGAGATTTTTCCTTTCAGTACCTGAATTAGTTCTAAATAACGCTCCAAGGTTACTGGTATTTCTCCAATGTTTTGCAAAGTTGAATGCCTGTGATGAAGCAAAGTGCATAATTACTAAAAGAATAAGTGAAAAACTAAACCATTACACGAAACTGTAAGTCATATACTTTTGGTGGATGTTTGAAAGATAGCTGGACTACTTAATATATATTAGACAACTACTCCAACCTGATGTTCCCCCTACTGATGATAGATCATGTTTCCAGCCAATTTAATGAGCCCCATGCCTCCAGCCAATTTAATAAGCCCCATGCCTCCAGCCAATTTAATAAGCCCCATGCCTCCAGCCAATTTAATAAGCCCCATGCCTCTGCCTGGATCCTTTACACCCTAACATCATTATGTATATTCTCCTCACTGTTCTCTGATTATACATTTCCTAAGGTGTTGACAAGGAGAATTTGTCTAACAATTAAAAGCTACAGACTGTAATTTTGTTGGTGATCATTTCATTTATTCCTGTGACCTGTGATTCAGGAGTGATATTGTAAGGAGACGTTAGATGCTAATTACTCTTACAGGTTAAAGGGTTAAAATTAGGGTAAATGCAAAGATATTTCACTACAAAGGTTTTGCATTTGGTCTGGCTTTGGAAGGAGAGGGTTTTCAGGATTCACTTGGGTTATAATTCTAATTTAAAGTGACCCACAACTGACTTTACTCCAGAGAGGGAGAAAATTCACTGCAGGTTACAATCAGCTATGACTGCCACACTTTTCCAATCCTTTTGGCATTGAAAACATACAAAATTGTAGAACTTGCATGCATATACTGGTACCTCAGCAAAATAGACTTTAATTTGCTTTCCATTCATGCTAGCAAGACACTATATATTTCATCTGACAAGACCCACACCCTAACCCACCCTTAAAAAAGCACCTCTCTTCAGTGCCAATTTTGTCCAAAGCAGGAAGATGGTGAGGCTGGACTTAAAAAGATTTCTTACTGAATGCAACTTTCAGAATTACATCTACCTGAGGGCTTCTTGTGGATGGAACTCAAAGTGATGAAGAGGAATCAACTCTTTGTCTTTGTAGGGACTGTAATCACAATCTGACTGGTTAAACTTTTCAAAATGGGCCCACCAAATATTCACAGCAAGGTTTCGCTTTCCATAGGAGCGCACTTGATGAACCCATCTAGGATTTGTCATTTGGTAAACAAATTAAATCAACTTTGAAGCAGTTCAACACTTTAACTAGAGTCCTAGCCAGAAACAAAAAAAAACCTCAAGGGTTTTCCTTGAGAAATGCTGTAACAGGAGATAGAGCAAACTAACGAGAGTGTTCTCCATTTCTGATAAAAAATCTCTCAGGGCATTGAAATAGGGGATGAATCAGGAATGATGGCTAAAGAATTATCATATTTCCATTGCATGATAAACAAACTGAAGTGCTTTAAATTGTGGTTATCATATTTTGACCAAATCCTAGTCTAGCAGCATCTAACTGGCTGATCTTGCAAATGAACAAAGATAAATTTGCTGAAAGCCCACTTATAAGGAGGGTAAGATTACCTTGCAGGGATAAAAAAACAATCTCCTGGTTCCATGACAGCCTTAAAATAAGGGATTGTCTGTAATCCTGGGAATTTGTACATGTCAACTTGATCTACGTCAACAGTGGAAAATGCCCCATGGACCTTGTCAATATGTGCTTGCTCAAGATGAGACTACAACAGAAGAAAAAGCACCCATTGAAAAAACAAAACACATTCCATAAAAAAAAACACAAACATAATTTCCACCATTTCAACAGTCAATGGGTACCAACTCTCAGGCATTTGAGAAATGGACGAATACTTTTAACCCTTTCAATCCCAAGATCTTATTGTTTATTCAGTCTTCTCTTGTTGCTTCACATTTCCTTATATATTGGTTTAAGGGAAGTTGGTACCAGATCAAGATAACAACTTCTACCTGATAAATTTGAGTATTCTCAGTACTTATTACTGGATAAGGTGTTGATACCATAGAGAGAAGTTAAATTTTAAACAATTCTGGGAATTAAAGCTTTAAGTCTACAAGAAGACACTACAGCTCAAAAACAGTAGGCTTACTTTGCACACAATAAGCCCAACCCCTTATGCCACAGCACCAATTAGAGGCTGGTTGTCTGGCTATAAGTCCTTTACACAAAGCCTACCTTGTTAATCATGACCAGTTCTTTTGTTCCATCAAAGAGGCAGTTGATGTTATCCACAGAATCATAATGGAGAACGGATTTAGTACCACCGCTGCTGAACCAGACAACAGCATCTTGAAGCACATTTGTGTAGCCTCCACAACTTAAACTCTTCAAAAGTGCATATTCCTCTGAAAAAGTAAGTGAGTCTATGAGCATATGCTGCCAAGTATTTATTAAACTATTACTAAAAATCAAATAGGAGATTATCATCACTGACAACAATAGAAACTAGTTCAAAAAGAAGATTTCCTCCAACATTAGCCCAGTCACATAAAATGAGGTCAAATAGTTTAGAAATAAGCAAAATATACTTTCAAACAAAGAACAATTTATAACACTTTGGAATTGTGGTCAACTGCATCAACCCTTTAACTTCCATGAGTGACCAAAACAGAATTTCTCCTTACAATACTAATACAATATCAACTAGATTAGTGAAGAGAATAAAGAAAAATATCAAATTGGGGATAATTAGTTGATCCAATACAAAATTCTCTGAACTAACATTATAAGAATTGTATGGTTGACAGTAAAGATAATTACAAATTTGATCTGGGAGTTAAAGGGTTGAGACACAAGACAACCTTTCCCTTTGAGGAAGCTTTACAGAGCATTTATATAGAGTTGTGAGTTGCGACAGTTGTCTTCTCACCAGTCTCCCTTGCCACAGATAGGCTGCTTATGTATTGGATAAATATGAGCCATCTTGCCTCATTCAGGGAACACAAAGTGTACAATCATATAAGAAAAGTTTTCTACTCGATAGAGTCACCATACTTTTTGAGGCAGAACAACTTTCCCACCCGCATTGTCTTGCCCCCTAATATGAGATTTTAACTGCAATAGTTGATGAAACGCATACAACATATAGTGTAAATACAGAGGTCTGTAAGTCAGCAAGTCTCACACACCAGTTTACTGCAGCAACTATGCTCACTGATATAGTGATACATCATACAAACATATGCATCTCTGAATAAATGCAACACTGCTGGATACAAACATCCAAAACCACTTTGTGGAAACAAAGGGAATGTATACCCCACTAATTACAATGCTGCTCACTCTATGGGCTGATTTACAACAATAGGTCATACAAAGTTGAAATGTTTTTCTTATTTTAAACTAAACCTAGTTACTAAATGGTTGCTGACCAAGAATAATTTTGTAATTTCAACGACCTACTATACATATCTCAAAACTATACCCACAGTTCCTCTCACCCAGCACCAATCCTTGTCTGTGATGGCAAACTAAATGTTTCTGTTCTGCCTATTTCACTTTGCTGCATTGTATGGAATACTATTTTGTCATTTTCATATGAATTGTTGGTTGATTTTTTCAAAGAAATAAATGAAAAGGTAGCTTGGACAGGGGGGGGGAAGAGAAGGTTGTGTTGGGTAACTGAGACCATGTAAATGGGACTTCAGTATTTACACAGGGAGAGGTTGTCATGCAAGGGACTTGTTTGAACATATGAAACTATTAAGGCCTAACAGCAAGACTATCGTCTGCCTGTCAAACTTTCAAAATGGTTAAAACTGTACCTCTCATCTTAGCTGGAAGAGTTTCCACCAAGTAAATATCTTCATCCTTGTAACGACTGATAAAGTCTTGCAACTTGAAATGAAATGTTGCCAGTGATCTGTTTTCTTTTTTACCTTCTTCAACATCAATGCCCTCTTGTCCAAATTTTTCACTATGTTGAAGGTGATATAAAATAAGAATGTCATTCAAAAGAATGAGGTTGTTGTCCTTAAAAAAAGGGAATTCCAGAAATTTTAAAAGAATTTTGGAGATGGGAAACTAGTTCCTAAAGCAAAATTTTGCTTGGCTTTAAAAATTGAGACATGTTACTACCAAGAAGATGATATTTTTAATGAACTGACACTTAGATAACTAACAAAATTGGGATTTTGAGAGATAGGATGTCTCCCTCCATTTCACATATCATTGAAGGGGAATTTTTTTTAATTCCATGATTAGCTTCACCAAAATAACTTTACTTTGCTTTGCTCTTTAATGTCTCCAAGTTTCAAATATTTCATAATTTTCATGTCATTCGAGAAAACAAAATAAGTGGTAGTAACAAGACACAGTCAATTTGTTACCTAGGAGCTACAAAATTACATCAAGAAGTCAGAGGGTCAAAATAATGTATTGATTGCTTCAAAGACTTTCAATTGTTCACAAAATTGCGTGAAAAGGTGAATCATTAATAGTTAATTGTTCGTGACGAGTTAGTTTGTATCACGAGTTAGTTTGTATATCTTTTGCTTTTTGTGATACACTAATCTCCCTTATCGTGTTTTTTATCAAGTTTTAAAGGAAAAAGTAAACTTATCTTGGCCTAAAAATGCTGGAGGATATTTAAAAATTCATGGTTTTAAAATATAATGGATAAATCCTTAAGCGTAAAAGGCTTGCCTCAATTCTTATTCAGAGTCTGACCTGATACAGGTGTTTCAACTTCAATTGAAAACAAGCTAAAACTTGTCGAAGGGAAATAGACAGCCCTGCTAGAAATGTTGAAAACAGGTAGCCCGAAATATGCAGTTCTGCTCTCTGTTAATTTTCCGAAGTTAAAATAATAATAAAAAAAAAAACAATTCGAAACTGGTCGCCTGTAAACTAGCAGAAGTTTCCTTGACTCCTTGATTTCAGAAAATAATATTTCACTTGATGTGGATTGAATGAATTTTTATCAATTATGCTGACCATGAGATTTATTATCCACCACATATGTTGACCTTACCTTAAATATTCATCCGTCCACTTTGAAAAAGCAGGCATTTTCTTCGCTGCTCCCTTAAAGAGCACAGGTTTTCCCGGAAGAACATTTTGATCAAAGAATTCCCGAGACGATGGAACAAAGTCAGTGCTATCCAATACGCCTACAGGAGGCTGATGAGAACCTAAAGGTTTCAGATGACCGGTTGGGTGTTCAGGCTCATGGGCAGATAAAACCAAAATAAAATCTAAAATTAATAGCGCTTTCATTTTCCTTCGGAATAAGTCACTTTAGAGTTATGGTTCTCGAATGACATTGTAGTATTCTTGAATATGTCGAGAGTTTTCGAAGAGTCACCGAGTGATGCGCGTCGGGTAATCACCGATGGATTATCGACTGGTTCAGCTGACTTGACGTCACGCAGTAAACATGGACTCAGTTCTATAGCAACTCAGATCCTAACATTTTGACTTCATTAGCGTTACAATAGCTTTGACAATGACCTTTAGAGCTCGTATTATCTGATTACAATTTCTTATTTTTCTACGGTGCTCAAGTATTGCTCAAAATACGATTTTATTTGCTGGTTCTGTAAGTTCCCTCGCCCGAAATATTCGGAACTCGATCGTTTCGAAATGCGGACTAAGCAGGTTCAAGCCGCATTTTAGGTGGTTGTACTTTATAGTATTTCGTCGAGTGTCTATTTATCTTAGAGTTATTGGAATTCGACAGTGTAGATGAGAAACACCTAAGGTTTCTTAACCCAAAAACACGGCAAAATGATGGCAACAAGAAACCCAAAGGTCGCCCCGAAGCGAAAACCATCGAAACCTCAAAGCAGGGCATCCACTTTATCGAAGGAGCAAGGTAAGCTTCAGAATTGCCGGTGTGGCGAATGTCTCGGCTTGATTCTATCAATCTATTCTCAACGGGCGATAAGTATAGGTGGTAAATCTGCGTAATTTTTCGATGAATTATAAATTTTCTGGTGTTTTTGGCTTTTTTTGGCGTTTGCCTTGATTTGAACGATGCATTACTTCCTAAGAATCGAAGTCGACCACAAAAGTATTCGATCAATGTTTGAGTTCAAAACAGCTGAGTGATCATGTGAGTTGAAAGAAAGACTTTAATGATCCTCCATATATACAATATCTAGAGGTCGACGGATCAGCTGTGGAATCACTTATTGATTATTTGTACCACAAATCATTGTCCCTGCCCTAGAAACAGCACTTTGATTTTTGCACGATCGGCCCAAGGGGTTGACCACGATTAAGCTACCTAAAACACGTACTTACCTTAAAATTGCCTTGCCAAAGTGATTGTTTTATCTCAGCTTTCTAACACAGTACAAGAGTTTGTGCACCTTTGGATGTCACTTGAATAGTGGAGTTTATGGTGCTTCCTGGAAAATGTGTGTTTTGCAGTCATGAACTTTTTCATGACAGTCACTATTGCTCTCAGGGCCCATAAATATGATCTTGGGTACCTGAGGCAACCCTGCCACTATGTTACCAGGCCAAGCTAACTTTTAATTTTGAAACTTCTATGTTTTACTTCAATCTGTAAAAGTATATGAACCTTTGACATGATGAAGAGAAATTCATCTTGGGGTGGGGAAAGGGGGGGAAAGGGTAAAAGGGCAAAACAACTTAGGAGGGGGAGTTGTCCCACTTTGGTAGGAAGGGTAACATTGTTAGGTGGGTCAACTTTTTCACGCACAAATACTTTGGCTCACTTGCTAAGACAAGAAGGCTCTAATTTTTTTCCAATATGTAACCTACCTAGCTGTTACAAGAGATACTGGTGAGAGGACCAATCAGGGCACTTTTATTAAGTCAGTTATTTCATAAATTGGTGTCTCAGATACAAATTGCTTATATGTACTATAACTTTGAATTTTTCTGGATCAACTTTAATTTTACATGGGCCAGGGAGGTATATGAACAGCTTTAATATTACTCTTACAGAGGCATACCATGATAAAAATTCTTTGCCCTAAAATGATATTATTTTAATATTTATGATGTGGTGGATCTAATGACTACACTTTCAATGAATATTTTTAACAGCATGGACTGACACAGATGACACTGAAGGAACCAAGGAATCAGGAGAGTCCTCAGAACAAATCATAGAAGCAGCTCTTGAGCCACAGAAAGGCAGCTTAATATCAGTCAAGGAAGCAGATGAAACAAACAGAGGTACCACTGAAGATGAAATGAATGGTTCAGAAATAAATGGAGTTCATGAACCTCCACAGACAACTGACACAGAAGTTCCACAAACGACAGACACTGAAGGAGTGAATGGCACTGAAACTGACTCCATGGCAAGTATGGAAAGTGCTACAAGAAAGAGAGTGAAAAAAAATGCAGTTGTACCAACAGATGGAGAAGACAGTGGTAGGCAGACTCCAGAATCTAGGAAAGGTAATAATCATGACAACTAATGTTAGTTAAGCTCACCAATGGAATGTTATGTTGGTTTTGTTGTTGTGATTTTAAATATGTACATTGTAAAAATGTGGTTAATTTTTAGGATGCTTTTCGTCATCTGACAAAGAAATATCTTATTTGGATTGTGGAAGTATTTCATCCTTTAACTCCTAAGATCTGATTGTCAATTCTCCCATCTAACTGCTACTCATTTCTTTGTAAAATAGTAATGAGAATTTGATGTTCGATCAAGATGGCAACTTTTACCAGATAACATTTGAGAATTTGCATTACCTTTTTGCTGGATGATGTTTGGATATTGTAGAAAGAAGTTACATTTTAAGACTATGGTACTGAGAGACCTTTTGTTTTTGTTTTTGTCAAGATGCATGGAGTATTGCTGAGACGGATGCTGATGTCGAATCTAATGCTGCATCAAGTCGACCAAGCTCTGCCCATCAGAGAGCAAAACAGCGCCCTGCAACTGCAGTTACAAGACCAACAACAGCTACTGCACCAGTAGAGAGACCAATGACAGCACCATCCACCCGATCACATTCTCAAGCAAAGCCTGAGGCAAGTGGTAGCTCACAACTGAAATCATCAGGGTTCCATCCAAAATCAAGTGGCGAAGGAGAGAGACTTGATCACCCTGCATCAATGAATGGGGTGAGAGCCAAAGTTTTGTGCATGTAATGGGACTTGATGTTGCATGTTAATCTGTACTGCTTGTAATCTACCAAGGGCATGTTACTGCATAGCCATAGGGGCTATATATATATACAAGGAGTATGATGTAGAATTACAGCAAATGAATGTCAAGTAGACATGAATTAAAACCAGTTTAATTTGATGAGCATTTGCCTTTTCCAAGCACAGTACATTAAACAAAGAGTAATACAAATAAAACTGGTTTGAAATCATTTCTCCCCATGTATTTTTGTAAACTACAAGATAAATATTCAAATATGCAGTTTATTGGTAATTACACAAGAAAAACTTCTAAATGAACTTGTTATCATGTTTTAGTCTCAGGAGATTGTCCCATGGGAAGAACCTTCTCCAGTTTCCATTGAGGGTTTGAGAGATAGAGGTAAATTGCAGCCATAGCTTCTTTTTACCTTCTCAACTGTCATGTACAATACTACCTGACTTTGTACAACTACCTAGGCTTACTTATGACTTACAAGATGGCGAATATATAGCTAATATCCCATAACTATAATTATTACAATTATGCTTTACTTATTACTGGTATACAATACTTTGGTTTCTTACGATTACTTTCAATTAGAGCTGTTGTTTTGCACAAACAGTGTAGCTGTTAAACTTTTCAACTCTGTTTATACATGAAGCCTTTCTATTGTTTTTTTGAAGAAAGTGCATCCAGTCGCAGCAGTGGTATGCTTGCAATACCGCAGCTGCAGGGAGAACAGAATGCTTATATACCATACATCTATGCTAAAGAATGTATTCAAAGGGTAAGCGGCAGTCTTTCACTGCTTCTGTGTGACTATGTGAGCATGAAAAGTTATTTAACAAGCCTGAAAGTAGCATTCATCAGACCAATGTTTTGTAAATTTCAGGGTTTGGCAGGCAAAGCTTGGCCTGGTTAGACATTCTGACTTTTGAAAAATATTAAATTTATATTTTGTAGCCACAACCACAGTGAGAAAGAGATTTGTTTTCAATTCACTTTACAGTTACAATTCTTTTGAGGCTGTACATGTAGGTGGAATTATTAATAATGTATTGACCAATGTCATCTTCTCTGTGATAACTTTCCTCATCTGCCCAATTTCACTTTTTGTCTGGTTAAAAACTTGTCAGTTGCCTAGAGATGACCTCTTTACAGGTAAAAATTAACAGCAGGCTTGGATTAGAAACAAGGTAATGCAAACTTGGAATGCGAGGGCTTTTGCCGACAGGACTTCCAACTAAGAAACTTAATTTTGTCAGTGATGTTTATCTATGCTGGTATTGGTGAAAATTCTCTGCTATTTTACTCTGATCTATTGTTTGTGGTATGGTACAGGTAATGGATGACATGAAGAAGATGAAAAGTGGTCATGTAAAGGTTGTTGATAATATTCAGGAACAGTACAAAACTCTGGAAGATGATATTCAGGTATCTCCTTGTACATTTTGATGTATACTTCATCTTCTTGATTGGAATTAATCAGCCAGCCTTCCTAAATACCCCTAAGCCTATCAGACTGTTTTGCTCTAACAAAGGGCTAACACTGGAAAGGTCAGCTATGGAAACTCTTTATGGTAGCCAATTTACATTATCAGCTCAGTTGATAACACCAAATTATCTACATGTATTAAAACCCCCTATCATCACAGCACCACACTGTTTCTTTAGAAACTTACCTCCTTGATGTTTGATTGATAACCTGGCTTGTGTTAACAATTAGTAGTATTCTTTTTTTTCACTGTCAGCTACATGTATGAAGATCCTTTTTGACCCATGAATAAAGTTTCTACTATATTCCAGTTTCTATTATTATCAGGAAATCTTTAATATACATACAGCTGTACAACTTTTCCAGATTTTTGAAGATGTTTGTTTGTTTTACATTACATTTTTAGTGATTTTTTTTCTCATATTTGTATTTATTGTAATTATGAACAATTATCATTTTGAATTTGCAGGCTAAATTCAACACCTTTGTTCTTAACTTACGCAATGAATATTCCAACAAAGTCACCACCTTCCGTCAAGTTATTACAATTCACCGCGAGGATTCATTTCGTACAAATACTTACTGGCAAGAAACAGTTAAGGTGAGGTCTTAACTCCACACACCCATTCAGGTTTAATCCACCCAAAGTTAATTAGTAAAGAGTTCATTTTGAAGGCAGGTTTTTGCTTATCAAAATACAGCCACAAATAGCTCTTCTAT